CTATAAGGGTTTCTTTAAGGAATATACCTTAAATTATAGGGGATATAGACCATAACGGCTCTCTTTAAGGGTTTCTATCAGGGAATTAAGGAATATAGACCTTAAAAGTATAGTAGGATCCCTAATATGATTTAAGGTATATTCCTTAATTGAGGGGTATTGGAATCTCTGGGCTCCAATCCGTGAGTTCTTGACTCGTGGAGTTCATCTGGGTTTAGGGCTTAGGGCTTAGCTAGGGTTTGGGGTTTAGGGCTTATAGGGTTTAGGGTTTAGGGCTTTTGGGGCTTAGGGCTTTGGGTTTAGTGGTTTAGGGCTTAGTTTAGGGTTTAGGGTTTAGGGCTTATAGGGTTCAGGGTTTAGGGTTTAGGGGTTTAGGGCTTAGGGCGTGTAGGGTTTAGGGTTTAGGGCTTATAGGGTTTGGGGTTTAAGGCTTAGGGCTTAGGGTTTATAGGGTTTGGGGTGTAGGAGTTTCCGAAGTTAGGAACCCTTTTTGGGGTCCTCGTTTGCAAGGTTGTCTTTCTTAGGGACCTAAGAAGGGACCCTGATTTAGAGGACCCAAAGGAGTCGGCAGGTTCTCATAACAGGGGGTCATCCAGGGGGTAGGGTTTAGGGCTTAGGGCTTAGGGCTTTTAGGGCTTAGGGCTTTTGGGTCTTTTAGGGTTTAGGGTTTAGGGCTTTTAGGGTTTAGGGTTTAGGGGGGTATGTTGTGGTGTTGCTTTTCTGAGGGTGGAGGGGAGGAAGCTACCACCGGGTCTCAGCTTCTGAGGGGAGATTTTCAGAAAACTCCGTTTTTCGGGTGTAAGGTTTAGGGTTTGGGGTTTGGGGGATTTAGGGCTTAGGGTTTGGGGGATTTAGGGGTTTAGGGTTTAGGGCTTTTTAAAACAAACAACTTCATCCGTAGTGGCGTCATCGTTCTTTCTCTTTCTATATACCGCTTTACTATAATTATCGCCGGTGTGTTTTATTGTCTTGTCATCGTTTTTCCCGATCAAAACCGACTGTCGCTAGCCGGCGAAGACTAAACGGGGTTAATACACAACCGCAAGTGGTTTTGGTGTTGTTTTTCGGCATGTTGCTTAGTGTTCTGTGGGGGCAAAACGACTATTGCATTGTAGCTCTAACATCTCATCAGAAAACAGAAACAGATTCTTACATTCAGACGGATTGCAGGCTATAGCAACCGAGGTTTAAACGCATCAGGTCACCAGCATGCCTGTAGCGACAAGTGTGAGACAAGTGCAATACTGGCTCCCCCAAAACCCACTTCCCTATAAACCCCTAATCCCCCAAACCCTACACCCCTAAACCCTAAACGCCTAAACCCCTAAACCCCTCAACCCCTAACCCCAAAATCCCTATACCCTAAACCCAACGTCTCCCAGCCCCTAGGAACCCCCCAACCCCTAAACCCTAAACGATAAGCGGTGTAGAGTGTACGGTTTAGGGTTCAGGGTTTAGGGTGTAGGGTTTAGGGTTCAGGGTTTAGGTTTAGGGTTCAGGGTTGAGGGTTTAGGGTTTTAGGAGCCTTAACAACTGGAACAGTGCTTTGGGGTCATATCCCAGTACGGTGATAACAGTGATGATAATCATGACAGTATTACTAATAATAATACTCATAATATTACTCATAATGACACTAATAATACTAATAAAAGTATTGATAGGAGCTCTAAAAAAGAGCAGCACTAATTACAAGCGGGGGGTTGAACTGCCAATCTCTAGCAGGCTCCAGGCTTTCTTGAAGTACTGTTGCTGATAGAAACCCTGCATTACCTTAAGGACCCTAAACTATGGGAATTATTAGTTATATGCCTTACTATGGGTAATTCAGGATTTATATCATCAACCGTAATTTGGGGTTCCGTATTAGAAATCTAGTATACTACACACCAAAACCCTATTCTAGTTATTAAGGCCCCTATTTTAGGGTTTAGGGGGTTTACGGGTTTTATATCATCATCATCATCATCAACCGTATGGCTGACGACTTGGAGCATAGGGTATTGCCCTCTTAGGGCCAGCTCCTCCCTGGCTTTAGGGGTTTAGGCCTTAGGGGTTTAGGGGTTTAGGGTTTACGGTTTAGGGGTTTCGGGTTTAGGATTTAGGATTTAGGGTTTAGGCAATTACGATGTAGCATTTGTTGATGTAGGCCTGTTCGCCCTTTGCATGCAACTAGGGAGGAAGCATCATCCCTTTCCTCAGAAAAACATAGCCGAATCCCTAAACCATTTCGCCCTGTTGTAATCACCCTAAACCTCAGGTCTTTCTTGTTTCAAAACAGCCACACTCCAAACCCTCTCTTCTGCATCGCTCATTGCATCCGCGACTGAGGTCGACGACGAAGCTTCCGTACTGAATGTCTCGACTGCCTGCATGGTGGTGCAAGCTGATCCGCTTGAGGTAGTGTAGACAGCCCTGTGATGCCAGCCGCACATGGTCCTTGTAGCAGCAGAAACGGAAGGGCACAAACTTCAGCCCTCACCTCGCAACGCGAGTGTGAAGGAGGCCATGAAGACTTCGAACGCATCTGCATTGCCCCAGTAAGTAGTCTTCCAGAAGCGGTGTACCCTTTCTTTCACATCATCCGCGACCGGATCCAGCATTCTGTGCGGAAGGTAGACATAGACATTGTAGGATGGTGTTCTAGGAACTGACTGCAATCCATCGTCAGTGAAAACGAAGGAGGCATCGGTTGCAAAAGCCACCGGAGGGCTGCATGCCGAGAGGACACCACTCAAGGCAGTACTTGATGAGATTACCATTGAGCAAGGACGTTTGCCTAGGAGGTTCCATTGAGAAACAAATAAACTAAATAGAAACTAGTATACTATGTATTCAACACGAAGCGTTTCTCACTGTTTATAGGAAACAAGCGACAACTTCACATAGAGCTTGCCGATTGTGTTGGCCATTACCACCGTCCAATGAACGCTGGCATTGCCACGCTCTTCGGCCTTATCGGCTTCCTCCCGATGGCTTCCTTTTGATGGCATGCCGCAAATAGCCGCTTTTTCACAGGCAGCAAGAAGGATGTCGCAGCGACTCGAGTGTCTTTCCCGAGGCCAGCATGTCGCAGCTAAGCAAGCCGAACATACACTTGCTCAACTCGGAGTTGATGCTGCCACCGTCGAAGGCGACGCCAAGAGGTGGACAGACGCGGTTCCGAGCCGCGAAACACTGAAAGAGTTGCCCGCAAGCCTCGAGCTGCCTCTGGCTCTTGTGTTTTACAAAGCCCAGCAGCCCAAACTCTTTCTTGGTTTTAAAACCCTACACCCTAAGCTTCGTTTACCCAACCCTTAATTAATGAGCGCAAAACCTAAACTCTAGAAACTAAGCCCTAAGCCCTATACCTTAAACTTTAAACCCTGAACACCAGAAACTAAGCCCTAAGCCCTAGACCCTAA